GTGACGCAAAATGACGTAGTACCGTCTTTCAGTAAGATTCCTGCAAAAGCGACAATAGATTGTTGGAGCATTGTGTGTATCATTATGATTTCACTTTTACTTGCATCTATTTTTCTCTTTTTTTTCTTTTTTTCTTTTTTTTTTCGTTTGTTTGTTTTAAAAAGTCACGCAGGTCATGAGTTACAACAGCTGTTATTGACGAAAGATCAGTTGACTACATACGTCTGACTACGAGTAAATTAGTAAACAGGTGTATAGTTGGTTATACTAAACAATCAAGTGGAAAATGAAAAAGAAAAACGTGGGGACGACGACGATAAAAATGATGCGGAAAGAAGAAAAATGTCCTAGTAACCAAGTGATCGATGATACCCCTCGCCAGAAAAACAACAGTTTTCTCATTGCTACAATACAAGTTGGAAAAAGTAAGACCAAGCAGGGTCATCTGGTAAGGTTAAAAACTTTAAATTTTTTTGATGATTACAGACGTCAAGGTCATCTGAACTTTCAAAAATTCCTTTCTTTTACAAGCACATTTTTTTACTGTGGCTTCAAAAAACAAAAACCCTCAATAAGTGTTGGAAGTTTTGATAGGTGGTAACTGATTTTGACTCTCGCACACAAGCGGGACACTATTTAAACTGCAATCATCTTTGATCGACGTCATACAGTTTATAAAACTTTCAAATGTGAATTGATGAACTCTCAGTCTGTGTGCAGCTTACTAGCAGTTTTTCAGTTTTTATTATATTCTGTCGGTAGGATTCGTTATTTATGTATTCTTATTATATCTGATTACAATTTTCTGCCATAGTCGTTTGGTAAATTTTTTGTCGTTGTAATTGTCGTCAGAATTCTTGAAACTGCTGTTGCAATGCATATTATAAATGATCTAAAGCGGTGAAATTAGACTAGCGTATTCAATTTTACATCAGCCTGATAAAGTCATTGAAGGCAATTTGATAGTACAGCTAATAGAATGTAATAGAAAGTGACTGTATTCATTATGTCAAGGATAATCTTAGAAGGTTTCTACCAAAACTGGTTTGTTTTCCTTCCCTTTTTTTCGATCCTGGTAGCGGTGAAAGAGGGTAGTCGTTGATTGCCGTACGCTTAGACGTTATGAAAAACACAAATGAAACAATGGTGCTTTAACAGTTTAAATAGATTAAGCAAGTGTTTTTTCTGGTGATGATGGTGCAGTAGTGTAATGCTTAAATAAGAGTGAATAAGAGAAAACACGTTTTTTAGTGTTTTAAACACGTCATTTTCCTACAAAACTTATTTCTGCTTCAGCACGTTGTATTTCGACTTTAAAATTGATATCCTTA